GTGAGTGTATAACCTCATAATATCTAATAGTGGTGGGCATAAAAAATAAAACGAACCAAAATTCTTTAAAGCGAAACAAAACACAATCTAATTTAAAAACAGAATGCCTAGGCCTAATAACAAACAAATGAAAGACGAGTTTTTAATAGGGAAAATGAAGAAGCACCTGAAGTCGATGGAGCAGTTGTGGAAGCCGACCAAACATGTAGGATTCATCATCAAGCCGATGAAACACAACTTGAGACAGTGTCTGACCACGAGGGATGATTGAAATGCGATCGCACCGCTCAATCTTTGCATTCTCATACCTCAGTAAGAGATGAGAAGTGATTGCAACTCCAACTTCAGTAGTGGCTCTACGACACTGACCTTGGTGTCCCAATTCTAAACCAATACGTGTCGGACCAACAGTAAGTCGGTCAACAGCGTCGTCCATGTCTGATTGAAGAATCGAGCTATGCTTTTTTCTGACTGCTACAAGAGCAGCCTCTTGAACCAACTGTGCCAGTTTTGCTCCCGACCATCCTGTATTTGATATAAGAGAAATGACTCAAAATCATAGTCGCTTATATTGTTTTATACAAACCAATCTCAAACATCTCCAACAAGTCCGATTTTTACAAACTATTAAATACTTTTGGCCATAAATTGAAACACAGACGTTCTGTGTGTATTTTACCAAAAGATATCTTAGTAACGTAGGCAGTAATCTTTTTTACCTGGTAAGTTGCTTGCATACGATGACAAGTCAACAGAATCCGACATCTTGACTTTGCTGGAATGGATCTTTAAAATATCTAATCTTCCTTTCGCATTAGGAGGACGGATTCTTATCTGAGAAGATCATTTTTTATGGCTTTCAGAAACTCATAATCTACTGAGTTAGTGCAAGATAAAACAAAAAGGACTTGTGATTGGGTGAGGTAGATTATTGATTCGGAATAACAACACTAATTCTAACCAGTAAGACCTCAGCATTAAACAACAAACCTTTCGATCAAATCGACCTGGACGTAGAAGAGCAGGGTCTAACAGATCTCTACGATTGGTGGCAGCCAAGAAAATCACACCTTTGCCGGTGTCAAAACCATCAAGCTCGATGAGAAGCTGGTTCAATGTGGTTTCTCTTTCTTGAGTGGCTGCATTGTACAACTGGTCTGTGTTTTCTTTGAAAATCCCTTGACGTCTAACAAGTGACAAAATTTAAAAGTAGTTATCAGTTAAACTGTCTCAGGCTGAAAAATTTCACAGAAAAGGCAGTAAGTATATCAAAATCTAGATAAAAGGAGAAAATGTTGTGCATACCTAGTTGCTAAGGCATCAATTTCATCTATGAAAATAACGGATGGCTTGTTTACCTGCACAAGTACATGGATATCATCACAAACTATTGAATATTTCTGTACAGAAATCCAAAGTAATCATCTGCCTAATCACCTTAGCTCTTTTAAACAGATCTCTGATACGCGCCGAACCAACCCCAACAAGAACTTCGACGAATTCAGATCCTGCCATTTGATAAAACGGTACACCAGCTTCCCCCGCAATGGCTTTCGCAACGAGTGTCTACATAAAAAAACCAGGTTAGGTTGAGCTCAGGATAGTTATTGGGTGAATGGTTAAATGGTCCTTCTACATAGAGCTACTCAACCACTATAAGTATTTCTTGATATTCTAAATTATCATGCCTGTAGCTACAAAAATACTTTCAACTACTTACAACAATAAGAAGTGATAGTACAAATACTATTAAATCTTTAAGCTCAGCATTAACATAGATGATTACACATACCTTGCCACAACCCGGGGGACCCTCGAGAAGAACTCCATGAGGAGGTTTAATTCCCATTTTGTCGAACAGGTCGGGATTCTTCAAGTACTTTACAAGCTATCAAGACAATGTGATAATCGTAACAACAATAAGATGTTAGTAATCTTCAATTATCAGTTTCTCTCGAGCTTTCCAGATTTCAAGGAAAATAAAAATCATGCAACTTTGTATTTGATGGTGTAAAGTAAAGTCCAGTGGTAAGGGTTTTGGAGGTTAAGCAATCCAAACCAAATATGAAAGATAAAATCTAAGTTGATGCTAACCAAGAATGTGAACCAGGATTATAATAAAACAAGAGATCCATATCAAGCAAGAACTGACACAAGCATGGCAAAGGAATGGATTTCAAACAAAATCAGCAAGTGTATATAGTATTTATTATTATGAACAAGCTTCTTGCATATACAAACTCTGAGTTTCTTGAATGAAGTTTATGACCTTAGAAAGATATTTATACAAGTCATGATAATGGCAAACAAGTTTAATGCTTTAAATTTAAATGTAGTAATTGTGCCAGGAATTCAGTCAAAATATACCTCTTGAAGTTCGTCAACTGCTTCATCAATCCCTGCGACATCACCGAATTTAACGCCAGTTGAACCCTGTAACATAATTATTTGATGTCATCAATAACTCAACCAAAAGGTATTAGAGAATTAAAGAAACGTGCAAATAGGAATGATGGTTAGAAACTTACGTCAACACGAGCTTCTGCTTTAGACTGAGAAAAAGCAATCCCTTGCCATAAATCCTGCGAAAAAGAGAAATTAAAGTGATTGACAGAAAAAACAATATCACGGAAAACATGCAACATGTAGTATAAGGATACAAGAATTATACCCATTTCCTAAAATTCTTAGGTCTCCGTGACAGTGTGAAACGGACAAGAAGAACCATTGTCATGACAACAAGTAAGATTGGTTTAAGTATCTCAAGGCTTGATGATACACCACCAAATGTGTAGAAATCAGAAATCCTTGAGAAGATCCCCCCATCGCCAAGAACATCAACAAGGTAATCCCATGATCGTTCAAGACCACCGACGAATATGCCAATAAACAGTTTGAGGAACGGCTTTACTATAGGCCAAACAACATAAACTATAGTGACAAAGGCGAAACTAGTGACTGCAAAAACAGCTGAGGCTAAAAATCCTCCAACAACAGCTGCCGCTGCAGCAATAAATGCTGTCACCATTCCCAGCTCAACCATCACTCTACTTGATATAGAAGAGGCGACCGGGTTTGGGAAGTCTGCCACTTTCCCAACCCAAGACTGCAAAATAAACATTTGAGAGCAGACTAAATCAAAACATCTGTGTGCCAACCTCTATGTACATGAATAGATTCCGAAGAATTCGTAACCAACACAGGATATTAGATCATAATCTAGTAAGTAAGATCCAAATGAACAAAAGATTGATCACCGTCATGTGCCTTTCTATTTCGTACTGTGGACCAGTGTATTCTTTCAAAAGAGCTTGAGCTTCTCCAACTTCAAGCTTCATCGACCTATCAAGAAACAGATCAATAAGTCAACAAAAGCAATAATCCTGCATCCATTAAAACAAAAAAAATGTCTCTTCGTTTTAGCTTAGTAATTCACCATTTGGTTCTCTGTAAGCTCTTGACTCCAGGAATTTCCTTAAGATCAACAATGAAATCTCTGTAAGGAGCACCAAAATCATCCTTCGACGTCAAAAGCTTAACCTTATCATTCTTCATAGCTTTTCTAAAATCTTCCAAGCTCATCTTTGGTAAATCTCTCACATTTTTCTCAAATTCATCTTCCTCAGATAACTCTGGTCCAAAAACTTGCTCCGGGACATAAAGCTTTCCTTTGTATTCCCTAAGAATATCATTCAAATAAACAGACTCATTTCCAATCTCACTGCTTTTCTCTGTCTCCTCCATTTTCGTCTTCGAATCAAACTTCCTTTTAATAAACTCAAACGGACCCGTCGCATTGGAGCTTCTGCTTAAATCCTCTCTCTCCTTGAGATTATAAAGCTTATCACCAACTCGATAACGAGGTTCCACTTGACTAGGATTCTCCTTCAAAACCCTAGTTACGAAATCATCATCAGAAGCAGCAGTACTGGGATTGTTCGCTGACCCGGGATTCAATTCGCAGAGAACTGTAAACGAACGACGTAGAATGGGAGCTCTCAATCGAGTTTTTGCAGCGAAACTCGCGTTTTTCTGGATCGATTTCTTGGGGATAGCTTTAGGGAAACGAATACCGAGCGAGAAGAGAGTATCTATAGAAGCCATTTTACAGAGGAAGAGAAGCTTCAACGAAGAAGAAGATGTAATCGCATTGCGAAATTCGAATTATGGATAAGAAAAGAGAAATTAGAGGGTTTAATGGAATCAGGGTAGCTCCACGGACACACTAAACTGCAACATTTTTGCTTCGTTGCTTTTTATTATCCGATCCGACTCCGAAACGGGTCTTCTACATACTGGTTATTATTAGTTGAAACTTGAAACAAAAATAGAGAAAATAGAAATTTCTTTTGATATATTTCTTTAATAAAAACAAAATTACTATAGAAAATTTTCATAATGCACAGTACTTAACATTTCCAACCACAACATCAAATTGTCATAATGCATAGTACTTAGCGTATCAGACAAGCCAATTTTAGCCGTTAAACTTTTTTCACCAAAATCTAACCGTTACATTGAGTAGTCACTTCATGTTTTATACAATTATTATCACTTTATCAAAAAAGATAAGTCAATCTTAATCGTTAAATTTCTTTTACCAAGATCTAACAGTTACATTGATTAGTTATTTCATGTCATATATCAATTATCTTTTGATATTTTATTTCATGGATCTCATATGGAGATTAATTTTCCCACATTAATTGTGTGATATTCGATTGTTCATCACCAACAATTCAATTGGCTAAAGTTAGCGTCTCTTTTTTCTTACTATTTACCATTTTTATATAAGTGGGGGACTAATGCCATGATTATCTTCACTTATTTAAGAACATATACTTAAAGAATAGTTTTCTTCGATTTAGAGAATGAGATGACAGATGGTATTTTGTCTTTGTTATATATCTAAATTCGATTTTATGCATGTTATTTTTCTATTTTCGGGTATTTTATATATTTTTCAATATTTTTTGGATATTTTCAAATACTTTAGATAAAAATCATAGTTTTCTCATAATTAATAATCATTGAAAAGTCTTACATTTCCCAATGCAGTTCACTTCCTCCTTCACTAGGCACTGAACCGGATTTTTCCGTCGGTAACAACAGCAATGGGACAAAAAGAAGCGTTCTTTCTCTTAAGAAGAAAAATAAGATCTTAAGATTTAAATCTTACCGCGAGGCCCTCTTGGCTCCAGCTCAGTGAATCCTGCCGTGTTCCCTTTCACCGAGAACATTCTTCCTTGCAATGGTGGGGTGCAGTTGTAGAATGAACATCAAGAATGGTATCTATGTGTATCTCTGATGTGATGGAAAAATTGTTGAATCGGAGGAGGTTATGTGTTTCTCTCAAGATATTGTTTTGGTTTTTAAGACTGTGGTTTGTGTTTGGTTTTATTCTTCTTTTTTAACTTGTTTATGTTTCTAAGATTTCCACTGATATGAATAATAAGCTGTGTGCGCTTTATCTCTGAACTATGTTTTATTGAACATTACGAAAACCATTCTGCTTTGAAATAAAAAAAAAAATCTTTTTTTTTAGCGAAAAACGAAAAT